AAAAAAAAAAAAAAGAAAAACAAAGGAAAAAATCTGTTTAAAAACAATACTTCTATCTTTTTTCTTTCCTCTGAGTCCACTGCGGGGAGATCAAGTTTCACACGTGATCTATAAATGTCTCTCTCTCTCTCTCTCACACACACACGCACACACACTCAGTCGCACACGCAGCCCCCTCCCTCCCCCGGGCGTTCTCTGCAGAACTCATTGCACGTCCCGGGGTGGACAGCGCCACGGCAGCACCGAGCCCTCCCACCCCCGGCCCTGCACCCCGCGAGTCCCCCCGATCAGCACCGGCTGGGATGCACCACGCCCAGGCACCCCCATCCCAGGCAGCGCAGCTCCCTCCCGAGTCCCGGCTATTTATAATGCCCGCCGGAGCCAGGCCTGCATTTCGCTGCTCTGGCCATGGGATGAGCCCGTGGGGACCAGGAGGAGGGCGGGCTGTGTCCCAGGCAGAGCTTGGCAGGACACAGCCACACTTTGCACGCCCAGAGCCCAGGCCGGGGGTTTGCCAGCAGCTGATGACTCCGACCAGAGCTGGGGGTCAGCACGTCTGGCAGCCCAAGGACTGGGACGGGTCTAGGCTGTGTCCCCCAGGAGGAGACAATCCCGGTGCTGGGGACAGGCTGCCAAGGGGATGTCCAAGCGTCTTAGCAGAAGGGGATTTTCTCCAAAAAAAAACCCCTGGTGGTTCCCAATCTTGTGGAATGGCAGTCCCAGTGTCACACTGGCTGCTCGTCCCAGTGCTGGCTCAGACAATGAGAGATGCTGGTGGTACTTTAAGCAAAAACTTGAAATAAAATCTTTCCCCAGTGCCCCAGTACTGGGGGGCCGGGGCAGGGTGTCCCCCCACAGGGACCCAAGCTGCCGAGCTGTGGAATACAGAATTGCACCGTGGCCACGGCCAGCATCCCAGACCCCATCCGGCAGCAACTCGTGGGAATGGGGAAAACAGGGACGCGGGAGCGATGCCGGGGGTTTAATCCATTTATTTGTCATGAAGCGATGGGAGGAGGTGCTCCGGAGCGTTGTGCCGGCTCTGGGGCTGGCTCGGTGCTGACACCCAGCGCTCCCGTCCTGAAGGGTCTGTGCAGCCCCCGCAGCCTCCACACCCCCGGCCAGCCCCGGCCTCTCGCTGCTCACGCTCAGGGCAGGGACGGGGAGTTCGCACCTCGGCAGTGCCCGAACGCAGAGCTGCCGGCGGCTGGACAGCGATTTGAGCACACAGTCACGCCTGGGGATGGCTGGGAGGGGTTGCAGAGCTGCTTCCAACACATCCCAGTTTGGGGATGCAGGACGTAGGAGCATCCCCTTCCTGGGCTTGCACTTGCACTGTGCATGTCCCTGTCCTAGACAGACACAGTCACGCCAAATTCCTGTGCCCACATCCAGCTGGGAGAGAAGCTCTTTGAGCTTCTCTGTGAGCCTGAGGAAGACAGGATTTGGCCCATGAGGGTGCTGTGTGCTGGGCTGGCATGATCCCAAGAAGGGTTGTCAGTCTGGAGGTCCAGCTGCCCTCCAAGCCCCAGGAGAGCAGGATTTGGCCCTGGGTTTTGCTAGTGGGGATGCTGAGCACCCGGCTGGGCTGCTGTGGGCAATGGCACAGTCTCCAGTGGGGTCGCCCCAGGAGTCCTGCTGCTTCCCATTCCCGTGGCTGAGGATGGGGGGACACTTTTCAGCACCTGGAGCAGCTCAGTGGTGCACTGTGCCCGTCAGCACTCCCATAAAACCAGGACCCTGTGGAGCCAGGGCATCTCCCAGCCCTGGGGAACAGTATCTAGGCAGGCATCAGCTTCATTAGCAGGGTCCAACCCCGGTCTAACCCCATCCCACCCATCTGGAGGAAGGGATGGAGCAGGCTAGGGAAGAGGGAAGACCAGAGGAATAAAGGAGCCACCCCCTCCCCAAGCCCTAGGGCTTTGCTTTGGACATTGCAAATTAGATTTTCTGAAAAGGAAATGTTTTACACGCCATAAATTGTCTCAAAAGGAAAGGGGGATGGGGGGGCAGAGAAAATTGTGCAATGTTTTTTTCTTTTGGTAGATGGAAAACCAGGGGTGATGTGGCTGGAGCACCGTGGCAGGAGTTGGCTGGGAGCTCCTTCCATGGTGCCCCAGCTCCCGCGCTGGTGCCCGCTAGGTGCCCGTGTGCCTTTCTGTCTTCGGCTTCTTCTGTCTCTTTTTGCCTTTATTTTTGGGTTCGGTTTTCTCTGCAACAGAAAAAGGAGAAGAAAAGGAGCGCTCGCTCATTGGCCAGGCAACGTGATCTGACCTGAGCCCCATCCATGGGACGCTGATCCCATATCCTCAGGGTGTTAGTGCTGGACCCAGTTTCTGATTTTGGGGACCCCAGAGCCCTCTCCCAGTCATGAAACAGCAGTGTGGGTCTGTAGAGGGTTTGGATGTGCTGATGGCAAGGGCAGAGGGACACTGGCGTGTTGTCCCCACGTCTCCCATAGCTGGACTCTCAGACCTGGTACCCCAAAATCCCTAGGGATGGGGTGGGGCAGCTCAACCCAAGCAGAAGCTGCCTGAAGGAACCCCAGCTCCTCTCTGAGCAAGGACTGTGGGTACTGGAGAGGGGCAGTGGCTGTACCAACCCCCCCAAGCCATGGCACAGCTGTGCTCAGCTCTGCCATGATGTGGGAGCCTGCCCACCACCATGGGACCTAGACAGCCCCTGGGAGGATTTGGGCATGGTGGGGAGCAAGGTGGCTTTGGAGTTCATCCTTACATAGGTGCTAATTCTCTCTCCATGTATGGATAGTCCCCATCCCAGTGGCACAAGCAATGTGCTGGTGGAGCCTGGCTGCACCCCAGATCAACCCACTGCCAGCTTTCCAGGGTCAGGCTGTTGGAACCCAAACCTTTGCTCACCCCGAGAAGCTGCCACACACCCTCCAGCTGGCCAAGGTGCTGGTGCTGAGACACCAAAGACACAGGGATTCAGGATAAACCCTGCTGTGCTATGGGCTCCTCTGGGAGGGGGAGTCCATGCTACAGATCAGAATGGTTGCCCCAAAAACTGGGCAGCTTTGTTGGTCCTTGCCCCCCTGCACCCACTCCAGTTAGAGTCACATGGAGGGGGTTCAGTGGTGTGAGGGGCACAAGGGACCATGACTGTCCCCGGTGCTGCGTGTGCCAGCGCTGTTGTCCCCAGTCCCTTCTGAGGGCTCCAGTTCTTGTCCTGCCTGGCTCTGAAACGCTTTTTCTCAGCTCTGATCTCCAGACAGTTGCCACCCACAAAGGAGAGGGCACGGCACGCACGCCAAGCGTCTGGAGAGCGGGACAGACACCCAAGGCAGATTTACAGCAGTGCGAGGGGTTTGTGCCACAGCCAAGCGTGGCAGCTTTTCCCTTCCAGCCGCCTGGATGGCTCAGAAGTGGTGGCACAAATCTCTCATCACACGGTCGGGTTCGGCTGCCTGCCTTGGCTCGCCTGGGCTGGGGGTGTCTCAGATGCATCAAGTGAACTCCTCGTCCTCCTCCAGCATCTGGATCCCATAACCCAGCACTTGGCCAGGCGGGCAGGAGCCTGGGAGCGAGGGCAGACACACGCTCTGCCGTGGCAGGGACTCCGAACAGCCTGCCCAGGAGTGGGAGACATGGAGGGGCTGCTCTCTCCTGAGTGGGTTGCTTGGGGGGCACTCATGGATTCCTTCTGGTGGGCAGGAGCAGGCCTGTCTCTGAAGCTTATCCCTGATAGGAGCCTCAATAGTAGAGTCCTGCCAGTCCCTAAGCCCACCACCGTAGCCCCATGGCTTCCAGCTTGCAGGAGCACAGGCAGAGACAGGAGGCCAAGCACTTTTCTGGGGTGCCAGTGCCTTCTCAGTAACTTCACAAGATGAGGTGCCCCTGAAACACTGGCACAATAGTCCCTGCCAGTGGGACCTGCTGTGTGCCAGTCAGGGCAGGGCATGGGCACGGTGCTCCAGGACACAGTGCTCCGGAGCAGCCTGTCCTCCCACATTAAATTTCTTGCATCAAACTGTCACCAGCTCTGCGGGTCTGGAGCTGCCACACACCAGCAGGGAGGAGAACATCCTCAAAATCGAAGCCACCTGGCACCCCAAAGATGTGAGTTGAGACCTGGGTGGGGAAGGGAATCAGCTCCTTTGCACTGTCAGCAGGAAAATATTACTTATGATTGATGCTGCTGGGATGAAACCTCTCTCCTGGCTCTGTGGCCCTCGCCCAGCACGCACGTCCTCTGCTGCTGCCCCCCTTCTTCATCTTTTTTCTCTCCACCCTCACAGCCCTGTCCTCTCTGATCCCCGCCACGCTGGCGGTGCCGGCCAGCTCATCCCACGGCGCAGTGATCCCGCAGCTCCGAACCGCAACCCTCGGTGGCTCAGATCTGCTGCCAGGCACTTCACATCGGTATCTCATGCATCCCCCTTTCTGCCAGTTATTAAGTGGAGATTTATTAGGGTAGCTTCAGTCCAGACGCCTGCATCCAAAAATGACATCAGCCACGTCCTGGTTCCCATCGCCAGCCCTGCACCCGTGCACGCACCGCCCGGACAGACCCTGCAGCGTGTCTGGTGTGTGAAAAGTGGGGAGATCCCTGAGCCAGGGAGCCCCCAGCCTGGGAATGAGTTGGGGGGAAGTGCAGGGACATGAGTGAACATCTGTCCAGATGAGCCATGGAGGGGCACTGTGCCCTGGGGTGTCTCCCAAAACTTTTGCCATCAGCAATCCTCTGGGTGATGCCCTCCTGCTCTATGAGCATTTCAGCTTTTAGGGAGCTCAGAGGATTTTGCAGGAGCCTCCTCTATGTCTCAACCCTCCTTACCCACAGCTGCAGTACAGAAAGCCTCCCTTCACGTCGTGGCAGAATGGGAGCTGGAGCTCGGCAGCCTCATCCCACCACGGCGGTTCGTGCCAGTGCCCAGCCCAGCCCAGCCCAGCATGGTAGGGGACACTGGCTCGTCCCAGGCAGTCTCGGGAACTGCCAGGTGGGAGCAGCCAGCCCTAGGGCTGCTCAGCACATGTGCCTGAGATGACGGCTTTACCCAGAATTTCAAAATGCTTGGGAGATGATGACAGCACGGTTCGCCGGCCACTGCCAGATCCCTGCTGCCATCGTCCTCCCGCAGCACCCCTCGGGCTCACTCTGGGGGGACGCGAAGCTGTCCTGAGCCCCTGTGGCACGGTGCTCACCTCCCGGGCAGTGCTTCTTCATGCGGCACCTCCTGGTCTCCAGCAGCGCGGGGCAGGCGGTGCCCTCCTCTCGGGCAGCCTCGGGCACCTCCCGCACCCGCGTCTCCACACCCCACCTGCAGCCGCAGGTCCGGCTCTCGTGGGTACAGGCGCTCCACTCGCTCCACGGGCCCGGCTCGCACGTCTCTGCAGGGACAAGGACAGGGACAGAACGGACCGGTGACCCCTCGGAGCCAGGCACGTCGCCGGGGACGGCGGGCGCGGGGTGCGGGCGCTGCTTACCTTGGCACTCGCGGGTGCCGGGCTGCGCCGCGGTGCCGGCGGGACACTGCCGAAAGCACTGGCCCTTGTACAAGTAAAACTTGTCCTTGCACTTCATGCAGAAGTCTCTGCTGAAGCAGCTCTCGCAGCTGGGCGACCTGCACTCTGCCGGGAGGGACGGCCGGTCAGCCCGGGACACCCCCGGCACCCACCGGGGACCCAAAACCTGCGGGGTCCAGGCTGAGGCTCTGGGCAAGGGCAAAGGGGACGAAGCCCTCCCAACCCGGCTGCCCCTGGATCCAGAGCCACCAGGGATGCTGCGGCAAATGAAGCCACCGCCCTTCCCGCAGCGCTGGGACCCGCAGGGTGGCGAGGGGAGCGTGGGCACTGGTAGGAGCAGGGGGACCCCGGCTGGCGCGGGACGTACTTGTGCATCTGTTGACCTCCAGACCCCGCACACCAAAGTAGCCTGGGGGACAAGTGTGCACGCACATCCCGTACTGGCGGATGCCGTCCCTCCAGATAAGCAGGAAGAGCCGGTGGTGGCAGGTGATGCAGCCGTTGTCCTCAGAGCACAGGACGCAGCCCGTGCAGTTCTCCAGCAGGCCAGCACTCGCTGCGGGGACAAATGGAGGAGAGGGGCTGTGGCAGAGGTGCTGAGGGGGATTCCAGCCCCGTGGTAGCCCCTCTCTGACACACCATGGTGACAGTGCTGTCCTGTCTCCCTGCAAATGCCACCTCACCTCCCTCTGCTCCTCAGATCCCCACCTCTGTCCACGCTGCATTGATGGCCTCCATCACTCCAAGATCCAGGCTGAGGGTTTTCCCTATGCCCAGCACTGCCCATGGGTGACAGGCTGAGCCACACCCCAAGCCAGCCTTGCCCATCCCGTGGGAAGTGGAACAACCACTGGGTCAGCGGGTAGAAATATGATCTGACCTGGATTAATCAGTTAATACCTCTCAAGTGTCAGAGGACAAAGGGCGTTTTGGATGCACTCAAGAGGAGCTGAGAAAAGAATCTGCTCGAGAACCTCTGCTGCCTCCCTGGCTGCCTGTGCTGTACTCCCAGCCTGTGGGAGGGTGATTGACCCTGAATTGGGTGACCTCTGTTCCCAGGGACAAGGACAGGGTGACAACATCCACCAGGCCAACTGCTCCTGCTCTCTGAGCCCACAGAAAAGCCACAAAAGGGGCCACTGAATTCCTGCATGCAGGCATCCAATACTTTCACCATGCCCCTTTGTTGGGAACTGTTTGCTTGGTACCACAGCCTGAGCAGCAGTGACCATGCCAGAAGCCCTGGTATGGCATGCTTAGGACCTGGGCTCTATAGAACCACAGAATCACAGAATGGTTTGGGTTGGAAGAGAGACCTTCAAGATCATCCCAAACCCCCTGCCATGGGCAGGGACACCTTCCACTACGCAAGGTTGCTACAAGCCCGAGGCAGCTGCTGGGTGCTGCCCTGGGAGGAATGCGTGGCACTGGTCCCTCTGACCCCAGAAGCTGCATCAGAAGGGTCCCGTGGCTGTGGGGCTGGGGCAGAGGCGCTGGGAACCGGGGAAATGCTGGCAGAGGATTCTGTCAGACGATGATGGCGGGCGGTGCCTCGCAGCCCCGTGTGCTGGTCCCTGGCACAAACCAGTCCACGATGCCCTGGTGCCATGCAGTTGTCCCCAAGCTGGCTCATCCCAGAGTCTTCTCTGGGACGCACTGTCTGGGATGGCAGCACTGCCAGAAGCCCTCATTAGAGCTGCGTCTGCTGGGAGCGCTAACGAAGCACCTTGGATCCATTAAGTTGTTATGGTCTCCGTTACATATTTACCAAACGCTGACAACATTTGTGTTCCTGGCTGCAGCTGGAGTGGCTTCCCTGGAGACCCGTGGATTTACGAGCCTCTTTCCCTTCCCTAATTTTTTTTTTTAATATTTAGGGGTTTTTTTTGCTGCTCTCCTTCCACTTCCAGCCAGAGCAAAGAAGATGGGGAGCCCTGGATGGGCTCTGGGGCCTCCTTCCTCTCACTGGCTTTAGAAATAATTCCACTATGTGGAGCTGGGAGAAGTGGGGTTGTCCTCCTCCACTCCACAGTGATGCTGGCATGGCACACACATCTCTGCCACCAAGAGTGACACTGGAAGCCACCACAGAGAACAACAGAAACTGTGGGCTTGGGGATTAGGAACAAGAAGTGGGTTCATCTCCTCCTGTCCAGTGGTGATGGCAAAGGGCAGGGCTGAGCTGGGATGGGCACAGGGCATGGGGAACAGTGGGTACCTGAGCTTGCTGGACATGGGTGTGACGTCCCCCATCTCTGCCCACCCTACGCCCAGTCCTGCAGGGCACCATGAGTCCCGGGGGCACGGGACTGCCCGGACCAGAGCTCCCAGTGGCAGTAGGGAGGCTGTAGGGTGCTGCAGCATCTTTTGTGGCTCCTGGACCCTGTGCTGGCTTTTCTGTGCAGGTTATCCCAGGGTATATAACATGTCTGGGGTGTGAAGCCACATCCAGACCCCCAGGCTGCCAAGACCTGAGGCCTTTGGAACATTGTGCTACCCAGCAGGAAGCAGTGGTAGCTGGAGCCCCTCTTGGTGCTTGGTCATTTCACATCAGGGGTGTTTTGGCCACCAGCCTGGCCACCCACATCACCACACACACCTACTGCCTCTGCATGCCTTTAACAAGGAACAACTTCAAGGGAATCTCTCCAGGCCCCAGCCCTGAAAGCCCTGGTTCTGGAAGGTCCTGCCCCTACCCTAGCACATGTTGGCCCCAAAACCAAGGCATTCCTGGCACAGAGCTGAGAACCAGCCCTGGACCCACTCCACACAGCCAGCTGGCACTGCCTGGCACTGTCCGGTGAGGGACATGAGCCAGTGCCCAACGGAGGGGGCATGTACCTCGGCACAGTCCCAGCACACCCTGCCCTTGCCCAGGCACTGAGCAGTGGTTCAGCTGGTGCCTCTTCCTGGGGAAAGGATGGGGCAGGGGACAGGCAGTGCCTGCCGTGGCTCTGAGCATCCTTCCAGGAGGTTTTACTCCTAAGGTACCTAGTGTGCTCTGTAGAGAAAGGAAATATCTGGATATCAGCCCATTTTGTACTATCCCCACTGTGTCTGGCTCTGCTGGGGTTTGCAGAGCTGGTCCCAGTGCCAGCCAGTGTCCCTTGTCTCCTGCCAGCCCCAAAGGCAGGGCTGGCACCGGGCAGGAGTGCTATGGGGCTGCACTCTGGATCTTCCCAAGCCAGCCCCGAGCCACGCACCCAGAGGGGAACACAGACGGTCCCCAAGGGGGCTCAAGGCGAGGGGTTGGGGTTATGCTGGTTCCTGGCACCTCCAGCCCTGCTTCACAACTCCTCCCTGCTCTGTGCAGGCAGGACAGGCAGCCTGGTGTCCCAAAGCCACCCCGCAGGACCCGGGCGGGACAAGCCCACTGTGCACACTGTACCTTGCTTCTTCCACCGGTTCTGCGTGAGCATTTCCATGGAGCTGATGAATAACAGCAACATGAATATTATCCACTGCATCTGGGCAGGAGTGATGTCGGACAGGGGAGAAATCAAATCATCCAAGCGGCTGGCGGGCTCGGCTCCTGCCAGAGCCGGTGAGGGGTGGTGGGAGGGCGACGAGCGGCTCCGGGCTCACACCATCCCAACACGAGCTTCGGACACACAGCCACGCTTCAGGGCAGCTTGAGCCGGCGACTGTGGGGCAGGCTGGGGTTGTCAGGCCCGGGGAGTGCTCATGGTGGCGGGGAAGTGCCGGCTGCTCCGGGGAGCTCTGCCTTTATAGTCAGTGTCAGCCCCCTCTCCTCACCCTCCCTTTCAAAATAATAATAATCCTGGAAAAAAAAAAAAAAAAAAGTAAAAAATCCCCCAGCAGCAACAAAGCGACTGGCAAACGCCCTGGCTGGATCCCCCCGGAGCACTCCAGCCACCACCTCGGCTGGGAACCGTCCCGCCGTCCCGCCGCGGTCCGACTGTCCCGCTGCCATCCCAGCGCCGGGGTCACAGCGAAGCCCCCTGCGATTTTGGGGGGGTGGAGCCAGGGGGGTGACGCTGCCTGCGCCGGCCCCACGGCACAGCCCCCCGGTTCAGCCCCC